TTCAATGAGGGAAAAAACCAGTCTCTTCAACAAATGGTATTGGGAAAACAGAACAGCAACATGCAAAAGAAGGAAACTGGACCACTTTCTTACACCATACATAAAAATAAATTCAAAATGGGTTAAAGGCCAAACTGTGAGATCTAAAACCATTAAAATCCTAGAAGAGAACACAGGCAGTAATTTCTCTGACATCAGCAGTAGCAAATTTTTCTAGATAGGTCCCCTGAGGCAAGGGAAACAAAAGCAAAAATGAACTACTGGGACTACATCAAAATAGAAAGCTTCTGTACAGCAAAGGAAAAAAAATCAACAAAACCAAAAGGCAACTTTGTAATAGAAGAAGATATTTGCAAAGGACATATTTGATAAAAGGTTAATATCAAAACATATAAGGAACTTCTAACTCAATACCCCCCAAAATAATAATTCTATTAAAAATGAGCAGAAGACTTAGACAGACATTTCCCCCAAGAAAGACATACAGACGGTCAACAGACACAGGAAAAGATGCTCAACATCACTCACCAGGGAGATGCAAAACAAACCACAATGAGATATCACCTCCCACTTGTCAGAATGGTTAAAATAAAAAACCCAAGAAATAACAAGCATTGAAAAGGATGTGGAAAGAAAGGAACCCTCTTACACTGTTGGTGGAAATGCAAACTGGTACAGCCACTATGGAAAACAGTATGGAGGTTCCTCAAAAAATTGAAAATTGAACTACCATATGATCAAGTAATTCCACTAATGGGTACTTACCCAAAGAATATGAAAACACTAATTCAAAAAGATATACGCACCCCTATGTTTATTGCAGCATCATTGATAATAGCCATATTATGGAAGGAGCCCAAGTGTCCATTGGTACATAAATGAATAAAGAAGATGTGATATGGGGCACCTGGCTGGCTCAGTTGGTAGGGCATGCAACTCTTGATTTCACAGTCATGAGTTCAACCCACATGTTGGGGGTAGATTTACTTAAAAAAAAAAAAAAAAAAAAAAGAAAGTGTGTGTGCATGTGAGTGTGTGTGTGTGTGTGTGTGTGACAGAATATTACACAGCCACAAAGAGAATGAAATTTTGTCATTTTCAAAAACAAGGATGGCTCTAGAGAGTATAATGCTAAATGAAATAAGTCAGTCAGAGAAAGACAAATACCATATGATCTCACGCATATGTGGAATTTAAGAAACGAATGGACAAAGGAAAACAACAAACCAAAAAAACAGACTCTGGGGAGCCTGGATGGCTCAGTCAATTAAGCATCTGACTCTTGATTTCAGCTCAGTTCATGATCTCAGGTTTGTGAAATTGAGCCCCACATGGGGCTCCATGCTGAGTGCAGAGTCTGCTTGAGAGTCTCTCTCCCTCTCCTTCCATCCCTCTCCCTACTCTCTCTCTCTTTCTCTAAATAAAACAAACAAAATATATTTTTAAAAAATTCTCCTTAAACAAAAAACTACAACAACAACAACAAAAACCAACCCAGACTCTTAACTGTAGAGAACAAAAGTACATTTACCAGAGGGGAGGCAGGTGGGAGGATGGGTCAAGGAGGTGATGGGATTAAAGAGTGCAGGTGTTGGGATAAGCACTGAGTAATGTATAGAATTGTTGAATCACTAATATAACACTACGTTAAGTGTACTAGAATTAAAATTAAAATTAAAAAAAAGTCTCCAATGAGATACCATCTCACACCAATTACTGTTTGGGCTACTATCAAGAAAACAAACAAACAACAACAGCAAAAAAATAGAAAATAACAAGTGTTGGTGAGAATGTGGAGAAATTGAAACCATTGTACATTTTTGATGAGAATAAAAAGGAGTAGAGATGCTGTGGAAACCAGAATGGAAGTGCCTCAAAAAATTAATAATAAAATGACCACAAGACCCAGCAATTCTACTTGGAGATATATACCAAAAAGAATTGAAAGCAGGTCTCAAAATATACTGGTATACTCATATTCATAACAGTGTTACTCACAATAGCTAAAATGTGGAAGCGAGCCAAGTGTCCACTGAAGGACAAATAGATAAGCAAAATGTGATATAATTCATACAATGGAATATTATTCAGCCTTAAATGAAGATTATTCTGATACATCTACAACATGGATAAACCTTGAGAACACCATGCTAAGTAAGTCTGGCCAGGGGTCAACAGCAGACAGCCACAGGCTGAATGCAGACCAGAGACATGATTCTTTCTTTAATTAGTTGCCAATATAAAAGCTGGGGGGTCTCCAGATACCATTTTCCACATAGGAGAACCAAGATTCTTTAGAGAAATGACAGTTCTAAGTTTGGACAGGAAATTTTAAAAGATGAGCTGGGACATCTTGTCATACACGATAGTAAAGAAGTTATCAATTTCTTTAACTTTGATTGTTAAAGCCAAATGACTCAGGAGCTGGATGTATAAAAAATGAGCTGATTTTATCATCAACAAGAAGAACTGCAAAACATTAAAAACCATCAAATATATTTAAATCCTTGAGTTCATAATTATAATAAAAACAATTAATTGATAACCAGGGAAGATGCTTGGGAATTAGCTCATTATTTTGAAAATATACGAGTAACAGGAAAGAGTCAAGTGTTCTTCCTGCCATCCCTAACAAAGTATACTGCTAAGTAACCAAATAATGGATAAGGGAAAGTTTCTTTTTATAGAAGTATTCTAGCTAATAAGTAAAAAGACTTTTTATTTTTTTTTAAAGATTTTATTTATTTATTTGACAGAGAGATCATAAGTAGGCAGAGAGGCAGGCAGAGAGAGGAGGAAGCAGGCTCCCTGACGAGCAGAGAGCCCGATGCGGGGCTCGATCCCAGGACCCTGAGATCATGACCTGAGCCAAAGTCAGAGGCTTTAACCCACTGAGCCACCCAGATGCCCGTAAAAAGAGTTTCTTACGTACACAACACTACATACGTATAAAATTGACAATAGGAAATCACTATTCTGCAACCTCAAAAAACTAGTTGAGCCAGATACTCAATATGAATGGCTGTTAACATTGTAGAAAAGAGGGACATCACATTACAGGTCTCCTGGCACATGAAGGAACATAATACCACTTATCTAGCAGGTTTGTCCCAAAAAATTGAGCTGAAACTTGATCAAGCTTCTATATCTGACTACCACTTGACGGAAAATACAGAGGAAAGGTGAAAATGTTAAATGATACTTTAAGGATGCAATCAGAAAAACCCAGACTCGAGAAGATATTTGCAAACGACATATCAGGTAAAGGGCTAGTATCCAAAATCTATAAAGAGCTTAGCAAACTCAACACCCAAAGAACAAATAATCCAATCAAGAAATGGGCAGAGGACATGAACAGACATTTCTGCATAGAAGACAACCAGATGGCCAACAGACACATGAAAAAGTGCTCCACATCACTTGGCATCAGGGAAATACAAATCAAAACCACAATGAGATACCACCTCACACCAGTCAAAATGGCTAAAATTAACAAGTCAGGAAATGACAGATGCTGGTGAAGATGCAGAGAAAGGGGAACCCTACTACACTGTTGGTGGCAATGCAAGCTGGTGCAACCACTCTAGAAAACAGCATGGAGTTTCCTCAAAAAGTTGAAAATAGAGCTACCTTATGACCCAGCAATTGCACTACTGGGTATTTACTCTAAAGATACAAATGTAGTGATCCGAAGGGGCACGTGCACCCGAATGTTTATAGCAGCAATGTCTACAATAGCCAAACTATGGAAAGAACCTAGATGTCCATCCACAGATGAATGGATAAAGAAGATGAGGTATATATACACAATGGAATACTATGCAGCCATCAAAAGAAATGAAATCTTGCCATTTGCAACGACGTGGATGGAACTAGAGGGTATTATGCTTAGCGAAATAAGTCAATCGGAGAAAGACAACTATCATATTATCTCCCTGATATGAGGAAATGAAGATGCAACGGTGGGGGGTTAGGGGGTAGGAAAAAAATAAATGAAACAAGATAGGATCAGGAGGGGAACAAACCACAAGAGACTCTTAACATCACAAAACAAACTGGGGGGCCGGGAGGAGGGGGGTAGGGAGAGGGTGGTGGGGTTATGGACATTGAGGAGGGTATGTGCTATGGTGAGTGCTGTGAAGTGTGTAAACCTGGAGATTCACAGACCTGTTCCCCTGGGGCTAATAATACATTATATGTTTATAAAAAAAATTAAAAAATTAAAAAAAAAAGGGTCCCAGAATCAAAAAAAAAAAAAAAAGAAAGAAAGAAAGAAAGAAAGAAAAGAAAAGCCCAGACTCTGGAAAACTTTAGAGAACAAACATCCCAGTTTCTTTAATACATGAAAAAAATGCAAGAGCCCATGAAGGATTATCTTCTAGTACTCTGGGGTTTAAAGTTCAGACTTTAAGCATCAGTGTGTCTTAGAGACAAGTACAGCCTCTGCCATTTATCAGCCATTTGCATGGAGAAATTAATTTAACCTCTTCAAGCTCAGGCTTCTTTACCTATAAAATAGGTAAATAGTAATAGCAACTATGTCCATTGAGATAATGGACATAAAACACTTAGCTCATTGCCTAACTTATGGCCCATGCAAAATAAGTTATTTTTATAATCTTCATCAGTAAAGAATGTGTGCTGAATGAATGATTAAATGAATGACTAGAATTAATCAGCTAAAAATACTATGAGCTATTCTTGGCTGATAATGTTGGCCATGTCATTTACTCAATATTTATAGGGCACTGGAGCTGGTACAAAATGAGTAAGACATGACCTTTTCAAAAAGAAATCCTCCATGTCTTAACCCCAAGGAATACTAACTAATGAGGTTGTCAAGGCCCCTCTAACAGCCTGCTGGGAAGAACTTTTAGAATAGAGGACCGTTGTTCATTGTCCTTTCCTACAGAACCTGACTGAGGGGTGGTAATGCTCATCGTCGTGCGTGTACTCTGCATTACTGAAACACTTCAGAACTACCCACGTTCTTAACAAACCTGGGCTGCTTGTGTCTGGCTCCTTCCTGCTCTTGTCACTCCCACCTGTTTGTTCCTCCTTTCCACGCGCAACGTTTCCTTCTGCTGCATACAGCACCTGAGGGTCAAAAGATGGACTTATTCATTGGGATAACTCGGACTGGGAAAAAATAAGTAAAGAGAATGTTGCCAGAATGTTAAGAGAACAAGTACTTCCTCATTAGAGAAGAGACGACTGACCTGCTTAAAAGCTGAGATCCGAATGACTAACGCAGGACAGAGAGCTTCCACCTTATAAACACTCAACTTACAAATGACCCAGACACACATTACTGCCCTGCCCCGGCCCCAACCCAGGGAGCTGCTATTGTCATGGACACCACTAGGTGCAGGAAGCCCACGGAAATGAAGATTTTATACAATCAGGGGATTCAAAATAAAAGGGAAAAATTGAGACAAGAATAGCTTTTTTTCCCAACCGTATCTCAAGTTTATTCACTTAACTCTGTTTTATTGCCTGAAATTCTGTATTATAGAGAGCCATGGTTAGTAAGCAGGGCTTTTAAAAAAAAACTACTACTCCCGGGGAGCCTGGGTGGATCAGTGGGTAAAGCCTCTGCCTTCGGCTCAGGTCATGATCCCAGGGTCCTGGGACATCCAGCTCTCTGGTCAGCAGGGAGCCTGACTCCTCCTCCTCTCTCTCTCTGCCTGCCTCTCTGCCTACTTGTGATCTGTCTGTCAAATAAATAAAAATCTTTAAAAAAAAAAAAAAAGACGACTCCCAATGGGAGTTTTTGTAATCTTCTATTACTTTCAGGCTAATTTTTCACTAATGATATGAGAGATTCTTAATGTCAGTGGGTTTATTTTTTAATGTCAATATTTTTAATCAGATAGAAAGATTGCCCTGATTTCCTACCAACCACAATAGGTAGTCAGCACCACAGGCAGTGTCTGGAGCAAGGGACATTCCCTTGTAAGTCTAATTCACAGCCACCATGTGTAGGAAACCCAATCACCATTTTTACGTTTAATGCAACAGGAAAAGAGCCCCCTGGAGTTCTTACTTAGGGATCTCTAAGATGGATGACATAGACTTGAGACAGTCCCAGCAAAGTCTACCCCCCTGGAGGAAGGCTAACCAAAGAAAGAGAAGCCAACAAAGAGAAGCTGATCTAAAAATTGTATAAGGAAACAGACACAGAGAAAGAGAAGGGGGGCAAAATCCTGAAGTCATTTGAACTTCTAGAAATTATGGACTTCCTAGTTACACAACCCAATACAGTCTTGATGTACTTAAGATACTCTGAACTGTGTTTTTTTGTCCCTTCTAAACAAAAACCCTAGAAGAGCTTCATTCTTGGACCCACTGGTTCACTTCCTGGTTTGTCTCTCCCTGACTACTCAGCAGGCATCCGCCTGGTTTCCCAAAGTAGTGACCTCTCTCCTCAGGTCCTTGTCTTCCAAAGGCAGCTCCAGGAATAAGACCGGCCGGTTCCCCAGGTCAGCTTCTCTCCCTGGAGCTGGCCTCTGAAGGGGGAATGCTATACTTCTAGGTGCAGCATCCCTTCCTAATTATGTGATCTGGACCCTTATTTTCTTCCTGTGTTGTTGGATACACCTTGAACAGTACTACATAGGATTCCAGAGATTTCTCAGCAGTTTTTGAAAACAGTGGACATACACCATGAAGGTCCCCAGAGCTGGGTTGCAAATACTTGCTTTGGTAGAGTTAAGTTGAACAGTGGAATACTATGGGTAACCAATGGGCATTTGTTTATTTCACTTCAGGTTTGAGCTAAGGTTTTTGCCAACTTTATTTCAATGTAGTTTGTGTAGTCATTTCCCAGAAATTATATGACCTTCTAGGATCTTTTTAGATTTTTTTTTTACATTTTATTACAAGTGGGGGGGGGACTTTAAAAAAAAAAAAAAGAAAAGAGAGAGAGAAACCACATTGAATTCTACCTTTCTTTTTTAAAAATATTTTTTATTTATTCATTTGAGAGAGAGAGCATACCTGAGCACGAGCACAGGCACAAGCAGGGGAGAGGGAGTGGGGACAGAGGGAGAGGGAGATGCAAACTGTCCACTGAACAAGGAGCCCAATGAGAGACTTGATCCCAAGACCCAGGGATCATGACCCGAGCTGAAGGCAGATGCTTAACCAACTGAGCCACCCAGGCGCTCCTAATTCTACCTTTCTAAAATAAGTATTTCCTTCCAGTTTGCACCTAATGTATTTTTTTTTTATTTTAAAAGTCAGAAAACCTTTTTTTTTATTCCCCTAAAGCTCTGCCATAGATTTTTAGCACATACCGATGGTCACTGGCTCTATGAGGTCCCTGTAGCTGGCAAACAGAGCCTAGCCATCAGCAGACCAGGCCAGAGAGGTACATTGGGGTGTTTCTGCCTTGCTGCTGGTACTGATAACTTCCTGCTTCAGTTCGTCTGCAGTGATCTTGCCTTCTGAGTCCCAGATCTTGATGCTGGGGCCCGTGGCCACACACAGCCCATGTCTGTTAGGACTGAAGCCCAGGACACTGATGATATCCCCACCACCTGGAGTATAAAGATGCTTGCCTTTCCTGAGGTCCCACAGCATGGTTTGGCTCCCTGTGCCTCCAGAAGCAGAGGGATCCATCCGGAGACACAGTCACAATGTCCAGGTACCCTGCGCAGCTGAAGAGATTAGTCTTCAGCTTGTAATTTGCCTCGTTCCATATATTGACCTACTTGTCCCAGCCATAGCAGGCAGTGATAGGGTCGCTGCTACCGGATGAGAAGCAGACACAAGTCACCCACTTCGAATGGCTCTCATCCTGGATGGTACATTTGCATACACCCAGAGTATTCTACCGCTCAATGGTTTTGTCTACGGAGCCAGAGACAATTTGCGGGGTTATCAGAGGTTAAGGCCCCACTAAGCACATCCTTGGTATGGCCTACAAATCTGTGTGTGGTGGTACCCATTGTAGATCCCAAAGTCGAAGGGTTCCACCACAAGAGTCTGAGAGGGCAAACTGGCCATCCGAGGAGATGACCCTGGGAAGCCCGCTGTGGATGCCCTAGTTAGTCTCCTCCCTGGTCAGCTTCTACATGATGATGGTCTTCTCTCGAGAGGCAGATGGTATCATGTCCAGGAACTGGGGAGGGGCGAGAATCCGCGTCAACCAGCCATTGTGGCCCTTGAGGGTACCACAAAGTGTCCTCTGCTCAGTCATGGCAGTGGCGACATCAGGTGTCCCCGTGGCAACAAGGATGGAGCTGGATGGCTCAGAGAGACTAGCACCAAAGCCACTCCAGCCACAGCCCTAGTGAGGAATAAAGAGCTGCATTGGATGTATCTCTATTTTTTCCTTATGTGGAATCCCAGTGATTTAATTGTCTGCTTTGTCACTTATATTAAAAAATAAAAGCTTTTCTCCATGCCTGGTCTTCATAAATGTAATTTAATAGCTATATAAGTAATACAATGGAACTGTAAACAGAAATATAATTTTAATTCTATTCTTTCCAACAGATATATAATTTACATGATATTCATAATTCATCTTATCAAGTTGCTAGACATTTTCATTTTTCCCATGGAAAGTGGGATTATTGGGTCAAAAATCTATGAACAGCTCTTGCTGTGTATTATATAAAATCCATTCTCAAAAGAATTATTCCAAGTCACTCTACCAGCCAAGTGTGGGTGCATGTGTATGGACATTTCACTTAACATGCAGGAGATCCTGTCTTTGGTACTATCATCTTATTTCTCTTTTTCTTATATAATAGGTATTACATGTTACTTTAGTGCATATCATATAAGTTAAAATCTGGATTTCAGAAGGAATAAGTAAGACTTAAGAAAGGAGAGAAAATGAAAGCTTCCAAGTGTGTAATTTTTCTGTTTCTAAATCTTTTGAAAGTTAGCACTATTAATATATACTATTTATAGTTCTTTCCCCTGTTTTAGACACTGTAACTTACAGAGAAGAATGTAATCTTGCATGGACATGCTATCCTACCAGTAAAGGCTGGTATTAAAGGCATTAAAACAAAGATGCAAATCTGTAATTTTATACTCCACCAAAAAAACAGGTATACCTGGTGAAAGACAAAGCTGTAAGGAACAGAAGGTAAGAGTCAGAGGAGGCAAAACCTAGAGATTTCATTTGAGAGGTTTTACAGAGTCACAACAAACAAAGGTCAATATTTATGAACGAATACCGTTCAAAAATATCCCAGATTTTTCTGATACTTGACGCATCTACCTTCCCTGCTCCAAGGTGTGAATCTGTCCTTAAGTATTCAAACTGTGAATCTAAAGGGTGCTTCCTTAGGAAGCAGTAACAGGCTGAGATGGGCTATGTGGCCCTTGAAGAGGACTCTGGAACAATCTTTAACTCTGGAATTCTGCCAAGAATGAGCCGCAGCTCTGGGTTAGACTTAGGACAATGAAGACTGAAATGACTGACACATTTAAACAGTTGTGGTCAGACTGCAAAGCTGAGCAGCCCTAAAATAGCTTGCATGCAAACTTGATAGACTATTTTCAACTCCTTGCTTGTTTATCAGAGTATGTAGTTTTCATTAAAGCACACAGCAGGTTCTGTGATGATTATATAATAATATATGATTATATATTCCAAATGCCAGACTCTAAACTCTTGGATTTCTACAATTCACCCATAGGATTTTGTTGTTAAGTATATATAACAAAAAAAAAAAAAAAAAAAAATTAGAAAAAGACAATTTTAATCAAAAATTATTCTATAATTATTCTACAAGAGTATTGAAGGTAATATATGTGAAATACTTAGTACATTCAACTCTTCATTCATTCAACAAATTTTTACTGAGTACTTATTAGGCATTAGAAATTCAGTGATGCATAAATGTCCTTGCCCTCTGGGAACATACATTTTCAGAGGTGAACAAGAGAAGGCAGACAAATAAATAGTAAATAATTAAACTAATAAATATAATTTATATAACAAAAATTATGGTGAGTTTTCAAAGATCGCATAAAGAAATGAAATGCAAGATGACAAAGCTGAGGAGGTGGGAAGATCCTAAACGAGATGGCACTTTGCACTTTACAGAGCCTATCATTTCCAAGATCTGCGCAGCCCTTGCTTCTTCCTCTGGCCTGCACCAGTCTACAGCCCTGCAACGCCCCCACCCAGCGTGCATAGTACACCGTCATGCGTAAACACTCCCCTTTTCTGATGACCCCAAGACTTAGCTCAGTATTATGAGACTAGAAAACCCTACTTTGTGTTTTTTCTTGTAAGATTTTATTTATTTATTTGAGAGAGAGAGTGAGAGAGAGTTCACAAGCAGAGAGGAAGGGTAGAGGGAGACGCCAACTCCCGGCTGAGCAGGAAGCCTTATGCGGGACTTGATCATGACTTGAGCTGAAAGTAGATGCTTCACCAACTGAGCCACCCACATGGCCCTAGAAAACCCTACTTTAAAGAAACTGCAGGCAATAGGCCCTCCTAGCTGCCCCAAATGATACTTAGTTATTGAAAGTGCAGCTTGACATTTTTTTCCACTCACCGTTTTAATCTCTCCTAGCACATTAACCAAAAAACAAAAACAAAAAACAAAAAACAAACCACTGAACAAAGAGCACTTGAGAGAAAGAGTAGCTAACTTTAAACACACAGAGAGAAAAAACTTGGGGGTAGAGGAGGTAATCTAACTCTACTTCTCAGGGCAGTACTCACCAACTCAAAAGAAAGCAGAAAAATCTCTTCTGGGAACTTGCACCTGGAGGCTGCTTTCAGCAAGTCTCTGGGAGAAGGAAGGTTCAGGAAGCCCAGCAATGGGGATCACACCAACTGCACACATCTCCCCAGGGCTGAGAGGGTGAGGAGGAGGGGCAACTTCCGGCTTTGACTCCCACACACTCCCACCTGTGGTGCTTGAATACATGGATGAGCAAGGTGGCCTTGTTGTCTCGCATGAAAACCAAGAGTCGCGTTGTAGTTCTGTAACTCTGCCCCCAAGGAACAGGTCTTAATTTTTTATTCTGGCAAAACTTCAGATAAAATGAAGTCACAGAAAAGAGCTCAAAGATGCCATAGATTCTCGTTGGCTCTTTCTGGCCACAGCTTAAAGAGATACCCATGAGGCCTCCTTAATTGGACTCACTTGGGATGATTGAACCTTAAAGAGGAAGCAAATGAGTAACAGGTTTAGTTTTTGTTTTTAAATAATATGCAGTCACCAAGAAAGAACTACAATTCAATTTAATCCCATTAATTACCTAGAGGGCTTGTTAAAAGTAAGATTTATCCAGAACCCTCGGGTTCTTAGATGGTCTGGTAAATCCACTGATAGAAACATACAAAAACCATGTCTTCACTCAAAGAAACAAATGCCAAAGTGTGATATTTGGGGCTTTGACACTTAGTGGGAGAGGTCCTGGGACAGCCCCCGACCTCACCTCTAGACAGGCTTTTGATTCAATCCGCGTGAGACAAGCATTGCTGGTGGAGAGTGCTGATGATGCAGCTGCCACTAATGTAAACATACCTTGGTCATTTGTAGGCTATGTATGCAACCCGGGTTGGTTTACAGACAACAAAAAGACCAAAAATTAATTTATAGCTGTGGGATAAAAATGTAATTAAGAAGATTTTTTAAATCTGTCATTCCCAAGCATAGCAGCCACCCCAGCGGTGTCTGGCTTACAGTTGCCAAAGGATCTGCTGCTTGTGTCTTGGGCCGTGTGGGTGGGCGTTAAGGATCCCATATGGTACGATGCTCATTTCTGCATTCGAAGCAGACAGCAGGTGGACTGCCTTCCGACCGTCTAACAGGCAAAACCACTACAAATTCCAAAATCTGGTGGGCAATGTAAAGCCTTGAGTGGAAGGGCACTGAAGGAGAAATTAGCACTTCCTATATGACGATGATATGATGATGATAACACTCTAATGGTAGAGTATTTGAGATTATTAAATAAATGTATTTCTAGTCACAGTTAACTCTAGCTCCCGATTGACTTATCACTGTCATACCAAGAGCCATGAGTGTAAAGATTACCTTTCTGGGGTGCATGGGTGGCTCAGTGGGTTAAGCCTTTGCCTTCAGCTCAGGTCATGATCTCGGGGTCCTGGGATTGAGCCCCACATCGGGCTCTCTGCTCATCGGGAAGCCTGCTTCCCCATCTCTCTCTGCCTGCCTTTCTGCCTACTTGTGATCTCTCTCTCTGTGTCACATAAATAAAATCTTTAAAAAAAAATTTACCTTTCTGCCATTCAAGTTGAGCAAAGAGGTTGAGTGGCATAAATGCAGTCCCCATAGAAAAGAGGAGGAAGGAGAAAGCCTGTTCTGCTCAGTACCTGGAAATCATGGGTAAGTGTGGGGAGGCAAAGTAAATTATCTGCCATGTGAACTGACTGGTCTGGGAGCAAAAGATTATTATATAGGTTTGACTAAAAAAACAAAATCAAACGAAATTTTTGACACACTCCCCAACTAGAATATTAGAATGAGACCTCTACGCAAAGGACTCTGCCAACCTCTGGCAAAGTGTTCAGATGGGTGGGTTGAGTGAATGTAGAAGAAAAGACAGTGCTCCTTGTTCCCTACAGTGTGTGCCTGGTGTGCAAATAATCCAGAAAGATGGGATACCTGGGTAGCTTAGTTGGTTAAGCGTCTGCCTTTGGCTCAAGTCATGATTCCAGGATCCTGGGATCGAGTCCTGGATCTGACTCCCAGCTCAGCACAGAGCCTGCTTCCCCTTCTGCTCCTTCCCTCTACTCATGCTCTCTCACTCTCTCTCAAATAAATAAATAAAATCTTAAAAAAAAAAAAAAAGAGCACTAGGAGTATCTTTTGTTCTAACATTTGGTCTTTGACCCCATACCTAACACAGGGCTCCTAAATCCCTTGGAATTTTCTAGATGAATGTTTTTTGTTCTAATGAGGTGACTCTTGATGGGCTCTTGAATGGGTAGTTAGTCACCAAAAAGACCAAACCATGATAAGAAGCTTAGAATTTTGTGTCCCACCCCACTTTCTCCAGATAGGGGAGAAGGGCTGAAAATGGAGTTAATGATCAATCATTCCTCACCTGGGGAAGCCTCCATAAAAATCCCAAAAGCATGGGGTGTGAAGAGCACATAGAGGTCCTAGAAGAGTGGCTGGCCAGAGGGCATGGAAATGCCATGCTCCTTCCCACACACCTTGTCCTACACATGCCTCTCCTTCATCTGGATGTCCATCTGCATCTTTTATCATATCTTTTTATAATAAACTGATAACCAGGAAGTAAACTGTTTTCCTGAGTTCTGTGAGCCACTCTAGCAAATTAATTGAACCCAAGGAGGGGGTTGTGAGAACTTCTGGTTTAGAGAGTGGGGGTCAAGTACAGGTGACAACCTGGGCTTTCGAGTGGTGTGTGAGTAGTGTCGGGACAGTTGCAGGGTTGAGTTCTTAACCTGTAAGATCTGATTCTACCTCCAGGTGGATAGTGTTTCAACTAGTTAAATTATAGGACATCCAGGAGATGTTGCAGAGAACTGCTTGGTGAAGGAAAACTCCCACACAGCTGTGTCAGAGGTGTTGTGAGTGAGGCAGCAACCTGAGAGGAAAAGAGAATTGTAAGAGGAAGACAGGTTTTCTTTATACCTCCTTTGGGGAAAATATAGGGTAAGGGGGCAATAGCTCCATTATGAAGATGGATTTTTGACTGGCTAAATACTTCCTTGGAAGTCTTTCAAAACCAGAAGACAGTAACGTGGTTTCTTCCACCCCCTCAGAACAGCCCTCTGCTATCTAGCAGTGGGTTATGAGAAAGATCTCTTACAGGAAGTAAAGAAACTACATTTTCTTTGCACATCTAGATGAAATGTACAAATCATTGTATAATAAGTACTATTATTATCCCCCCTTTTACAGGTGAAGAAATTGAGGCATAGAAAGAGTAAGTAAATTTCTCAAAGTCAGTGATGGGGTGAGGATTTGAAGTCAAGCACTCAAGATGTAGAACCCACACTCTTAACCCCTATACTGTGAATTCTCAAAACCTTCCTCTTGTATGTTATACGTTTTAAAGAGCTTCCTACATAGGTTGCTATTAATTTGACCAACAACAACTCTGAAATTACATTGTTTGATGACAAAAGAACCTATTTATATAAATTGTGCATATATTCTTATACATAGAGAATTATCTTTCATGATATTCACAAGGAGATGGAGAATTGTTGACCCTGGGTTGTAGAACTTGGAATGATTTTTAAATTTTTCTTTATTCTTTCCTTTTTAATTGAAATTTTTATAAGATTATGGCTTTGCTTTACAAGTAGAAAATACAGTGAGGCTTGTATTAATCAGGAGAGAATTGGCTTCACTACAATAATAAATCTCAAAAACTCAGTGGCCTAACACATGCAATTTTCTTTTCTGCTGCAGATTTGGCAGCTTCCTTTTGAATCATAACTCAGCAATTGGATCTACTTCTTACAGTTCCACCACTTCAATCAATCCTTGGTTTCTAGAGTCATAGAGGTAAAGGATAAAGGAGAATGAAGACTTTATAACTGCTCTTAAATGCCTCCATTGGCCCAGAACCGGTCATGTGACCTCACAAACTATAAGGGGTGGGAAGTGTAGTCTATCCTGTGCCCCAGAAGGAAGGAACTGGACAAAGGAAATACAAGTAGTCTCTATCATAGTATGAATTCCACTGTAAGAACTTAATAAAAGAGCATGGCCTCCAGAGTCAGGCTGCCTGGGTTCGTATCCCAGCTTAGGCACTGACTGACTATGTGACTTTGAGCAAGTTATTCAACTTCATTGTGCTTATTTCCTCATCTGTCCAATGAGGAGAGCAGTATTGCTGTGCAGATTAGATGAGGTTGTATGTTGACAAGCACAGTAGATTGTTCACAGAGATGACCATGCCTTCCCATTTGCACCATGATTTTTCCTCTCCCCCCATAAAAGTATACAGTTTATCACCATACCCTTGGATCTGGGTCTACCTGTAATTTGCTTTGATAGATAGAATGTCATGGAAGTGATATGTGGCATTTCTAAGCCTAGAATCCAATGATCCTTGCAGCTTCTGCTCTTACTTCTTGAAATTCTGCCCTGGAGCCTCCAGATGAAGAAGCCTGGCCTGGCTACTAGAGGATAAGAGGTCAGTGAAGGAGAAACAAGCTGTCCTAGTGGTGGGCCCTTATACCAAGCAGCTAACAGCTACCACCAATTGCCAGACATAGGAGAGAGGACAAGTTAGGCTATCAGAGCTTCCAGATTAATTTACAGCCACATGCATAACCACAGGCGTGAAAAGCAGAAAAACCATTCAGCGAAGTCCATCCCAAATTGTTGACTCACAGAATCCTGAGTAAATAAAAGGGTTGTTTTAAGCTACTAAGTTTAGCACAGTGTCTGTCACAGCTTCATCACACGGCTTAACACAGTACCTACCTGACACATAATAAGTATTGAATAAATGTCAAATGGTGTTATCACTTCTTCATCTAATTTTAATCTCATAATATTTATAAAAGGGAGCAGAGATTTCTAATCTCATTTCATAGGTGAGGAAATGAAGGCTCAAAGATGGTAAATAATTTGTCTGGTATCACAGAGTCCTTAAGGAGTCAACTGAGCATTTCAGATTTGACCTTGTAAATCCTTCTCCAGTGAAGGCCTATTCTCCACAAATAAATCCTTTTATGAATAGGAATAGGAACCACAGTGGAATATCTGCTCCTATGGTTTTTAATTTACTAATTTCCCAGCAAAGCGCATAATCAGGCACCCAGTGCCCTAGTATTTCTTTTTTATTTTATGATTTTATTTATTTATTTGAGAGAGAGAGAGAAAGCACAAGCTGGGGAGGGGAGGGGCCAGAGAGAGAAGTAGAC